CTACTAATGGCTGTTTTCAATACGCTTGTCGAGGCGCTCCAAACCGGCCTTAACTTCATTTCAGATTGTTTTTGTTCTTGCAGAAGGCCGGTTGTAGGTCAGCCAGGTTTCAGGGACAAAACATGAATATAAATTTGTCAGCGCTTGATTTTTCAGTCAGTTGACAAAGTAACTGCAAATGAAACCTAACCTCGTATACCGACGTTGATTTTCCCTTTTACTGCACCTCTTCTCTGCCCTCACTTCGCCTCCAAACATGAATCTGGCGGCCGATCTGCGCTCCACTGCTCTGCGCAGATAGCGCGATCCATTTTCTGTGGTTTATGCCTGTTATTAATGGCCTGGTACCCACACTTGGCCTGTTTCTATGTTAGTCAGTGGGTTATTTAATGGAGTAATAAAATGTGCACAGTCACACAGATAGCCATCAGGTTCACTTTTACGTGTGGGAATACATATCTGCCTCCATCTCTGCAGCTCTTACTCTTCATAACCAGCCTCTCGCTTTCCTCCCCGTAACACTACGTCTGCCGCCGCCTTGTTTGTGTGTTTATCATTTACAGTCGTCCCTCTATCTCTGTCAACATCCACATGTGGCAGGGCCGTAATAAACGACGGTGCACCGAACCCGTGTAGCACAAGGGTCACAATGTACAGTAAGGATGATAATATCAATAGAGTACAATAGAAGAAAAAAGATGAATTGTCTTGCATTTTCCATTACATACTGTCCTTCACACTATACAACAATGATTATTTTATAACATATATATACATATTTATATATGCTGTGACTGAGCTGGTGGGTTGGTGGATACTGGAGAATAAATAACCTTCCTGTTGGAGCCAAATGTTCCTCCTCCAATGACATTTCTAAGAAAAAAACCTCAAGATGTGCATGTTTTTAATGACTTAATGGTGTTAATATTTTAGATTTCTATAATTATTTTATGTTAGATAGTTGTTATCATCTTTTGCCTTGTTAGTTTGATTATTTTTGTGTGCATATTTTTATTGTCCACTGTCGTATAACACATACAGCAGTGCTCTGGTCAACTCAGGTTGCTTTCGATCAAGATATAAAGGGTGCTAATATATTACAACCTACAGAGACAAACTAAAATTGAATTTCCCTTCTGGGATGAATAAAGTATTTTTCATTTTCATTCATTTTCATTAAAACAGGTAAACGGGTTGGATGTGGGTAAAGTCAACAGTTATGTCATCAAACAAAAAGACAGCAGTTAAAATAATGTAATTAGCTCATTCTAAACTGTATGAGGAACAGATATTTTTGATCTGCTTCATTGTTTTATTTGTGTTACGGAAATAAAACACAAATACATTAAGAGAGATTAAATTAAGCAGTGGTGAGTTTGCTGCTGGTAAATTATTCTCTTGTCTTCTATTGATAGTTTTCTGACAGTATTTATCCACTGATGCATCTGAACCTGCTCCTATCCATTAGTCTTTTTGTTTTATTCATCATGGCTGATCATTTCCCCTGATGGACTGAAATATTAATACAGGGCTCTTGAACTGCTGAGCTACATCTTTTTTTATGTTTGTTAACTCTGTGTGTGTGTGTTTCGGTGTGTTCATCACAGAGAGACACTGTGGAGGGAAGTGAAGGGCAACCTCTTCAAAAAAAAAGAAGGCCGAATTAAAGAGGAGAACGGAGGGATGAAAACACGTGAGAGAGCAGGAGTGGAGAACCTC